ATGTACAGCAAACTATATTAGAGATTAAGATGGCATATCAGAGTGCAAGTTAGGTACAAAATAAACGGGGAATGTGTCCATGGGACACAGATGAAGCCCCCCCCCCTTTGCATATCATATAAAGTTATAAAGGGACATAACTGAAGAAAGGTAAAAGTGACGCTACCGAAATTTGTACTTGATCTGAGTTTTGTGGTAATAAGTATTGTGTAAAAGTTTCATAACATTTGGTTGAGGCAAACTGTAGTTAGAGAACGGAAACGAAAAATTCAGGGATTTTTCCATTTGTAATAGGCATAACTCTAGAACAGTAAAAGTGACACCACCAAAATTCAAACTTGATCTGTATTTTGTGGTAATAAGCATTGTGTATAAGTTTCATAACATTTGGTTGAGGTTAACTTAAGTTACAGAATGGAAACGAAAAATTCAGCGATTTTTCCATTTGTAAACGGGCATAACTCTAGAACGGTGAAACTGACACAACCAAAATTCAAACTTGATCTGTATTTTGTGGTAGTAAGCATTGTTTATAAGTGTCATAAGAATTGGTTAAGGCAAAGTTAGAGAACGGAAAGGAAAAATTCAGCATTTTTTCAATTTGTAAAAGGGCATAACTCTAGAATGGTTAAAGTAATGCCACCAAAATTCAAACTTGATCTGTGTTTTGTGGTAATTAGCATTGTGTATAAGTTACATAAAATTTGGTTGAGGCAAACTTAAGTTAGAGAACGGAAACCAACTTTGGGACAGACAAGGGTAAAACTTAATGCCCCCTCCGCAAGGGCGGGGGGCATAAAAATGTATTTTAAATTCACTTTCAGTGACTAAGAGCATTCCTTTACCCAATATTGTTTAATCATTTTTGTTTTGCCTATACTTGTTTTTTTTTACCATTATATTATATAGAGTTTTTTTGTCAGATATCACTTACTTTTATTGGAAGTTCTTTTATTCGTACCTTTTGTCATTCCACTGTGAAAGATTAAAAAAGGAGAGGATTGACATCACAAAACAAACCCCAGAATTTTTGTGCCTGTTCTTGTCAGTAATATCATCTGTGGTTATCTTTTATAACTCTCAATATATTTTGTCATTTTAGAAATTTTGTGTTGATGGCAGATTTTCAGTAGCTCTGTTAAATTCCTTCACTATTTTTCAAACCAAGGACATTTAAAGAATAACTGTAAAAAATGGATTTTACCCTAGATAAAAATATTTGGTATTGACCTGTCAAAATTGCAATAAAAAACTAACTGCAATTCACCTTTTTAGAATCTATTAAATGAATTCTGGGTAATATTTTCACAAGCGTACACCAAAAACATTGACATTGGCTAACAATGTCCTAAACAATGGGAATTAAACCAATGAGGTGACATAATTTTCATTTTGGGGTACGAACAATGAAATTACCCACAATCCTTTAGATACTGAAATAGACAATTGTATAAGAGCTGGTCAAACTGTATTGGATACTGAAATAGACAACTGTATAAAAGCTGGTCAAATTGTATTGGATACTGAAATAGACAATTGTATAAGAGCTGGTCAAATTGTATTGGATACTGAAATGGACAATTGTATAAGAGCTGGTCAAATTGTATTGGATACTGAAATGGACAATTGTATAAGAGCTGGTCAAATTGTACTGGATACTGAAATAGACAATTGTATAAGAGCTGGTCAAATTGTATTGGATACTGTTTAAAACTGTTTGTTGACTTCTGGATTTTAATTTTTTTGGTGTCATTGGTTGCTTTCTAATGGACATTTTCAGATCTTGTGAGTGAAACAAATACTGTGACTGACAGAAACCTTCTTTTCTTTTGTTATAGCAATGTTGATAACCATGCATGTAGGCTGCCATTATGGTAAGGGACTTCAACCATAGTGCTTATAGGCATCATTAAGGTATCAATTCTTCTCAGTTTGGTTAGAGTAAGTTTTTTTTTTTATTGAACTGTTCACACAGATATATGTCTTTTCTGTATTTAATTTTGATAGTAAAATCTTCACTAAATGCAAACGTTGAAAACAAAATGGCAATACTTTAACATGTAAACTTTGAAAAACATTTATTCAAAGTCTATGAACCATCCAAAAGGTGCAGTGCCAAAATAATAAAGAGATAAGCCTGACTGCAAAAGTTTCAGTCAATAGACCATGACTTGGAAAAAAGGGGGGGGGGGATAATGTGCCATTGCTAATACAACTGCATACTTAAATATTGACTTACCATTAATTGTTTCCCTTAAACTGACCCAATCACAAACTTTAACAAATTGTTGCCACTCATGCCGTCTGAAACAGCACAACATCTTGACTTCATTGAGGTGAGACAAATATAATTTCTGTGTAAATTGTATTTTCTTTCTCTTATATTAAAGAAGTGGTCACAATTAATGGTGAATGCAATGATAACATTACATTATACAGTTCAAAGGTCCCCATTTAATCTAACCCTGCAGTGACTGCTAATATAACTTTTAGACAAAGAATGATTGTCACAATTATGGTATTAATTGGTACATTTCAAAGACAACTGATAGAAAAAGATTTAAAAGTCAATGGCAGCTGAAATGAATTCTGGATTTTTACTAAAATGTTTATGTAGAATCTCTCCTCTTGTTCTACTTTAAGTAACAACTGCCATGTTGGACAGTTGGTGGGATTGTCAATTTAATAGCAAAGCAAAATAAGTCAAAGGATGATTTTTTTTCAACATTTAGTTGTAATTTGCTTTTTTTGATGTTTTTTTACAATGATAACAGACAATGGAGACATGAAACCTTAGCTTCAAAGTCCATGTGAGCTTAAAGGGGCACTAGCTGTCAAATTCATGTTCACCGATTTGACTCAAATTCTCATATTTGATTTATAACAATGTAAAACATTTATCCAAACTATTAAAAATCTAAAATAAACAGTTAACAGGACATGGGCATGATAACACGTAGCTTCGTTTCGTGTGTATTTTAGTCTAGACACCATCTAATTAACTATCAAGTTGACCTCCAAAGTCATCCGATTACCATATAAGCGATGTAAACATAAATAAAGATATAAATAGATTAAGCGATCTTGTGCTATTGGATTTTTCTAGGTCTTTAATTTCATATTATAGATAAAGAATATATGTTTATAATCGTTTTTACCTGTATAAGAATGATTTTTTGTGGATCGGATCAGTCAATCAAATGATTTACCTTTGTTTCACTTTCAATATTGACATTCTTTTCCTTTAAATAACTTTACACATACAATTCACGTGTTATCCATCTCTAGCTAAGGGGTTAAATTTAAGTTCACATGAATTTGGATTCAATGAGGACGAATTATTCACTTGCAAGTGAATAATTCATCATCAATGTTTCTTAGCTTATTTTGACAAAATTGAACCATACTGGCAGCTAAAAGCAAATAATTATTTCACTATTTCACTTTCATTAATGATTGAACAAAAAAAAAATCATATATTAGATTTTTTATATATCTCGTAGCTAGTGCCCCTTTAAAATAAAGGAAGTCAAAACATTTTTCTTTTTTCTTTTCATGGTTTCCTGCATAAAAATTTGTAAAAGGTTCCATGGAACCCCTTGTCTCCCCTGCAATTGATACTGTCAGTGTAAAAGTGTAATGTTGACTGTAAAAAGTATGTCCATTTATCAATAAAATATGGAAATTTTTTTCAGGTTTTTTTTATATTGAAGATCAGCTTCTAAAATTATTCCATACATCAAATATACATAACCTTTTGCTTTACCATGAAAACTTAACATTGCCTGATGAACCACGAAAATGAAGTCATGGTCAGATGAAACTTTCGAGACATGTACAATCATTTCATACACCAAATACAGTTGACCAAATGCTTATTGTATCTGAGAAAATGACCTCACAAAGAAAACTTAACCTTGATCACTCATCCAATGAGGTCAGATGTCTCAACACTGTCTGACAGACATGTACTCCTTGCAAGGATCCCATATATTAATTTAGTTATCCTATTTCTCAGAATGACAAAAAAACATAGTTTTTTTTAAGGCAGTCTTTAAACCATGAAAATGAGGTCAAGGACAATGGATATTTTATGACAGGAAAACTTCCTAACATCTGTACACAAAATATAAAGCTTTATACAAATAGTTTACACCATTGCTGCCACCAGATTGTAATCTCTATGTCTCACCATCTGCAACTTTTGTCACAAAAAAGATAAAAATAGAGGCTCTAAAGAGCCTGTGTCACTCACCTAGGTCTATGTGCATATTCAACAAAGAACACTCTCCAACATTGTAGACGAGAATAGAATTCATGACAAAAATCTCTTTTTTGTTGCTCTTGTATTGCTGATCATTTTGTCTGTTTAGTTTCTCTCTATCTTCTTAAGTTTTTTCTCAAAACAAAAAAGGGGGTAAAAAAAAATCTCATTTAAGGGCAATCACTCCTATAAAGATTGACAAAAAAAACAAAATAAGTTCTTTAATCAGTAAAATACAGAAACATGAAATTTTAGAATATTGGACAGAAGCTTTTATGATCAAAAGAAAGTATCAAGAGTAAAATATTTTCAAAAATTAACTCTTGATACTTTCTTTTGATCATAAAAAGCTTCTGTCCAATATTCTAAAATTCCAAGAAGGTTTGACAAAGTAATTGATGTTTAAAAAAAATTTAACCACAAACTAAACCAAAATGTTCACATCAACAACCGAATGTAGGATCACTATGTCTTGCTATCACAACAAAATTTTGCAGACTCAACAAAAATTGTCCTTAATATGCATGAAATATAAATTTGCAAGACTTGCATGGATAGATTGATTAATTGTTGTTTGAGTAATATAAAAATAAGGAGATGTGGTAGGATTGCCAATGAGACAACTATCCAGTGGCAAATATTTCATGCATGTTCAGGAGTTGCATTAATAGAAATTTTGATTGGGCTTGTATATTTCGATACAGAACAACCCTTTTTAATTTTTTAATTTATTTATTTGATGAATATAAAGTGTCATAATTTCTAAAATCTGTAAATTTATAATTATATATACACATATTATTTACACATTACAGAATTTATCAACAACTTATAACAAACAAGAAAACAATTTAAATAGCAACAATTAACAACTGTAAAATGTGAAACCAAAAATGTTAATTATACTTATCTATAAATAATATGAAAGTACTATAACTATGGTACATGTATTACATATCCACAAATTACTGTAAATTCAGAAATATTTCCATGTTATTATACTGTAAATTCAGAAATTATTGTGTGCACCTTATTATTTTTATGTTTTATTAAGACTTATTTTTATGTTTTATTAAGACCTTATATTCTAACTCTCATCACTTTATTATTTTTATGTTTTATTAAGACCTTATATTCTAACTCTCATCACTTTATTATTTTTATGTTTTATTAAGACCTTTTATTCTAACTCTCATCACTTTATTATTTTTATGTTTTATTAAGACCTTATATTCTAACTCTCATCATTTTATTATTTTTATGTTTTATTAAGACCTTATATTCTAACTCTCATCACTTTATTATTTTTATGTTTTATTAAACCTTATATTCTAACTCTCATCACTTTATTATTTTTATGTTTTATTAAGACCTTATATTCTAACTCTCATCATTTTATTATTTCATTGTTTTATTAAGACCTTATATTCTAACTCTCATCACTTTATTATTTTTATGTTTTATTAAGACCTTATATTCTAACTCTCATCACCTTATCATTTTTATGCATCATTTCCTGATTAATCAATCTTGTATTATTGTCTGTTGATCAACAAAATCAAAATAATGAAATGCACAAAATTATTGAATTTACTGTAACCAAATTTCACTGAAGGTTTTGTATTATAATTTTCTTAACATTATATTCTTGTTATAAATACATGAAAAGAGCAGTAGAATTATTTGCAAGAAAACTTTAGAAGTTAAAATCATGTTAACATAGTTTCATTGCGTGCAAATTTAAATCATAACACACAAAACATATTTTTAGAAGATAAGATATTTGGCTACTGAGAGTATTATCAATAGGTCTATATATATTTTGAAAACATGTTTGTAAAATGTATTTTGAAGTATGACAGCTAAGAATCAGGTTAAATTTATTAGTACATTGATGAAAATATAAAATAGTTTTAGCCTGGTTCCTCATCACTCTCTTGAATTAACTCTGAATCATCTTGATTAAAATCCCATAAATCACCAAGTGCCATTACTAAAAAATAAATACAATCAAATAATTAGGAGAAGAAGAAGTCTTTTATTAACCAAGAACTAAATTTAGATAAAAAAGACTTAATCATAGGAAAATTATTGTCCCTATTTTTTTATGAGCTAAAATAAATACCGTTATAAACTGGTAAACTCCAAATTACAAAAAAACATCATAAGTAAAGCTTTTCACAATGTTTTCTTGTTATATCCCAGACATAACACAACTCTTATGGCATGAGCAAGCATTTTCTCTTACTTTTAAATGAAATTCTTTAGAGTTTCTATTTCTGTAAAGTTTACTGCTTATATTCTTAACAAAAGCCCTAAAACTATACAAATAAATGTATAATGTTACAGGTATAATTTCTATTTGTATTCAGCATGAAATAGGTAAGAAATGCTTAGAAATCTTTTTTTACCTATATATAAGCATTTTAGATTTGACAATTGTCCTATTTGACTGATATTTGTGACAGTTGCTTTTGCTTACACTGACTGATAGTTGTGACAATTGTTTACTTTGATGGGTGCCACATGTGGAGCAGGATCTGCTTACCAAATCAGAGCACCTGAGATCACAGCTGGTTTTTTGTTGGGTTCCTGTTGTTGGTTTTTGGTTATTTATGTTGTCTTTGCCGTTGCGTTTTCAGTTTGAATATTCCATTGGTATCTTCTGCCTCTCTTTGACTGATAGTTTTGACAAGTGTTTAGTTTGACCAATAGTTGTGACAACTGTTTAATTTGAGCGATAGTTGTGACAATTGTTAAACTTGACAGATAGTTGTGACAATTCTATAATTTGACCGATAGTTGTGACAGTTGTTTAATTAGACTAATAGTTGTAACTGAAATACCAGATATGATCACACTTACTTTCAGGTTCATAATTGCCAGGTAGATCTTTTAGGACTTTAATCAGACCACACACAAATTGAACATACTGATGTTCCACATGAAAATGATTATCAGCAAAAGTGTCTTGTTTTTGTGACATCATATGTAACAACTGTAAACCTTTAATGATATCATCTAAGATAAACTGGTTCAAACAGTTCTCATAAATCTTTAGCAATTTGTGTACCAGTAATACAACTGTCTGTACCACCTACAATGTATAATTTTCTTATATTATTTTCTATGTCTTTATGGAATTCAATTTGTCCATTTTCTAGTATAAAAATGGTTCCAAGACATTATAGCTGGTTTGCATTACTAATGGTTTATAATATCAAAACCAATATAAATGGTTACACTTGATATTTGATATGATTAATAAAGCATCTATTTGAATTAAAAGTTAATACTTAAAGGCAATTTTTTCCTCTCATTATATGTGACAAAACATCTAAGGTTGTAATCTGATATAAAGTGAGTGAGTGAGTCTGAGTAGCGAGGGATATAATAAACTGTTAACACAGAGATATATTACACATGTATAATTGAATCACAAACTAATTATAATTATATGCTGAAGCCACAAACACTACCAAAAGGAGTATGCCTAAGCCACAAACACTACCAAAAGGAGTATGCCTAAGCCACAAACACTACCAAAAGGAGTATGCCTAAGCCACAAACACTACCAAAAGGATTATGCCTAAGCCTCATATTGCAACATTTGTTGCAGGCAAGACTAAAATAATTTTTTGTTGTTAACATTTATCTGACTATCTGATGCCAATTATTTGAGTTTTTGTTGTTTACTGTTAACATTTATCTGACTATCTGATGCCAATTATTTGAGTTTTTGTTGTTTACTGTTAACATTTATCTGACTATCTGATGCCAATTATTGGAGTTTTTGTTGTTTACTGTTAACATTTATCCGACTATCTGATGCCAATTATTGGAGTTTTTGTTGTTTACTGTTAACATTTATCCGACTATCTGATGCCAATTATTGGAGTTTTTGTTGTTTACTGTTAACATTTATCTGACTATCTGATGCCAATTATTTGAGTTTTTGTTGTTTACTGTTAACATTTATCTGACTATCTGATGCCAATTATTTGAGTTTTTGTTGTTTACTGTTAACATTTATCCGACTATCTGATGCCAATTATTGGAGTTTTTGTTGTTTACCGTTAACATTTATCTGACTATCTGATGCCAATTATTGGAGTTTTTGTTGTTTACTGTTAACATTTATCCAACTATCTGATTCCAATTATTTGAGTTTTTGTTGTTTATTGTTAACATTTATCTGACTATCTGATGCCAATTATTTGAGTTTTTGTTGTTTACTGTTAACATTTATCCGACTATCTGATGCCAATTATTGGAGTTTTTGTTGTTCACTGTTAACATTTATCTGACTATCTGATGCCAATTGTTTGCATTTTTGTTGTTAAATGTTAACATTTATCTGACTATCTGATGCCAATTATTTGAGTTTTTGTTGTTTACCATTACCATTTATCTATCTGGTGCCAATTATTTGAGTTTTTGTTTACCTTTACGCTACAGGTACACCCAGCTTCACACAGCAATACAATACCTCCTTTGTGTACATTCTGAATTGAAAGTAATATTTCTAAAACCTGAAATAAAAACACAAAATCATATAGATACACTGCTTTAATATAGATATTTCAAGCATTGATTGAAGTGACCACAATTTTTCAAACTATATTTATCATTTCAAAAGGAAAAGTCTGAAATAATTCTAAAAGAGAATTACACTAACTTTCTTGACAATTTCAAATACAAAATATTCTTTCTTTTGTAGTCTACTAGTTGTTATTTTTAAATATCACTGTCATTGACTTGTGTTTGGTAAAATCTGGACCTAATTGAAATCTTAATCAGAATTAATGAACGAACCAATGAATGTATTTACTAGCTAACAGCCAGATAAAGCAATATATCCCCTTTCAAAATTCTGTTGAACAAAGGGATAATTCTAAAGAAATCAGAAATCTAAAATACTATATGAGACAGATGCATTTTAACGTAGCAGGTAAACAAGCAAATATGATATCAGGCATTATCTTTGTAAAAATCTTGCTGCTTCAAATATTCTCAAAAAATGGAACAGAAAAAAAAAATATTTATTAGTTATCTTATGTGTCATTTGGTCTCTGGTGGAGAGTTGTCTCATTGGCAATCATACCACTATTATTTTTATAACTATGTTTATTTGATTCTGTTCTAATCTTTTATGTCTCATGCTTTGCACCTAGAAATAATTGTATTTAATTATGAGTCAATTTTCTACCCTTTGTTGCTGTGAACATTTCAGTCTGTTGATAAAATTAAATCAGTTTGTTTCCATATAAAGTTTCCTTTTATGACTTACATACTCACCAGTTTACCTATAACAAGCACACTTTCATCAGTTTCTGTTTCTATCAAATCTGTACAAGCCTGATACATGTTCAGTAATACACAACCTTCTGTAAAATACAATAAAATGCTCTGCTTGATACGACCGCAGAGGTCGAACCCTGAACAGTTGGGGCAAGTATGGACACAACATTCAAGCTTGATACAGCACTGAATTTGGATTGTGATTAAATATTTGACACAGCATAGGTTTCTGACACAGAATGAATGTGGTCTAAGAACTTTAAAAAATTTTAATTTACCTATTCAAACCATATCATTATTATTTGCTTTTATATATAAATCAGAAATAACCAATTTAAAAAGGAAAATTTTAAAGAAAAAAAAATCCCTCCCCCAAATTTTTTGAACCCCCTTATGATTCATCACCCCCAAACTCAATCCCAGCCTTCCCTTTGTGGTATGGTACCTTGCAGTACAATTTCAGAGAGATCCATACACTTGAACACAAGTTATTGTCTGGAAACTAGAAAAATGCTTGTTTTTAGGCCCTTTTTTGGCCCCAAATTCCAAAACGTTTAGGGCAATTACCCCCAAACTAAAACCCAGCTTTCCCTTTGTGATATGGAACCTTGTAGTACAATTTCATAAATATCCATACAATGACACACAAGTTATTGTCCTGAAACTAGAAAAATGCTTGTTTTTGCCCCTTTTTGGCCCCTAATTCCTAAAACTTTGAGGCAATTACCCCCAAAATCAATCCCAGCCTTCCCTTTGTGGTATGGTACCTTGCAGTACAATTTCAGAGAGATCCATACACTTGAACACAAGTTTTTGTCTGGAAACTAGAAAAATTCGTAAGGGTTCCGCGGAACCCAGTGTCTCGCCTACTTTTGCTGTTAATTGCAGGCTCAACAAAAATGAGGAAAAAAATTAATAAAAATATTCCTCTCTATACTATCTTTTGATTGTAAGTAGCTTCTGTCCAAGTTTGGTAAAAATCCAGGATGGTTTTTGAATCTAATAAATGTTTTTAAAACTTTAACTGCAGACTGTATGTAAAGTTAACTGGAAGAAAAACTAAGTCCATTTATAAGTAAAATACGGAAAAAATGGAACATATTTTTATCAAAATTTTCTTCTAGATACTATCTTATGATCATAAATAAGCTTCTGTCCAAGTGTAGTACAAATCCAGGATAGTTTAAGAAAGTTGTTAAAATTTTAAAAACTTTAACCACAGAGTGAATGTAATGTTAACTGGCAGAAAAACTAAGTCCATTTATAAGTAAAATACGGAAAAAATGGAATTTTTTTTTACAAAATTTACTTCTGGATACTATCTTATGATCATAAACAAGCTTCTTTCCAAGTTTGGTAGAAATCCAGGATAGTTTAAGAAAGTTATTAAAATTTCAAAAACTTTAACCACAGAGTGAATGTAATGTTTCCTGGCAGAAAAACTAAGTCCATTTATAAGTAAAATACGGAAAAAATGGAATTTTTTTTTTACAAAATTTACTTTTGAATATAATCTTATGATCATAAACAAGCTTCTGTCCAAGTTTGGTAGAAATCCAGGATAGTTTAAGAAAGTTATTAAAATTTCAAAAACTTTAACCACAGAGTGAATATTTGTGGACGCCGCCGCCGACGACGACGCCGACGGAATGTAGGATCGCTATGTCTCGCTTTTTCGACAAAAGTCGAAGGCTCGACAAAAATGCTTCTTATTGGCCCCTTTTTGGCCCCTTATTCCTAAATGTTTTGGGTATTACCCCCAAACTCAATTCCAGCTTTCCCTTTGTGATATGGAACCTTGTAGTACAATTTCAGAAAGATCCATACACTTACACACAAGTTATTATCATGAAACTAGAAAAATGCTTGTTTTTTGCCCCTTTTTTGGCCCCTAATTCCTAAAATTTTGAGGCAATTACCCCCAAAATCAATCCTAGCATTCCCTTTGTGATATGGAACCTTGTGGTACAATGTCAGAGAGATCCATACACTAACACACCAGTTATGTCTGGAAGTTACAAAAATGCTTATTTTTGGCCCCTTTTTGGCCCTTAATTCCTTAACTGTTGGTACCATAACCCCCAAAATCAATCCCAACCTTCCTTTTGTGGTATTGAACCTTAAGGAAAAATTTCATAGAGATCCATTCACTTCGACTAAAGTCAGAGTGCGAAAACCAATGTGTCTTCAGACGACGACGACGACGATGACGATGACGAAGCCAACATCATACCAATATACGACCACAAAATTTTTTTGCGGTCGTATAAAAACTACAAAATTTCAATACAAAAACTACCAAATATCAATACAAAAACTACCAAATATCAATACAAAAACTACCAAATTTCAATACAAAAATATCAAATTTCAAATGTACATATCCCAACCAGACTAATTGTATAGAAGAATTCCCTTAGAACCTATTTCAATATTCTATCTTCAATTTTTTAATGTTTAAAGAATCTTAACAATTAAAAATTTAAATGAACTTACTAAAACAGCAAGATTTATTGCCAAAAATGGATTACTAGTATGTTTTCTGACCCAACTGAATTTTTCTATATTGAAAGGGAAAGCAATAATTTTAGTATTTCTTATGTATTTTTACATGTAAACAAAACTAAGACATATATTTACATGAATACTATCAAAATATCTGAAATTAGTACTAGATATACTACTAAACAGCCTGTGTCGCTCACTATCTTCAAAAATGGCCAATCTTTGGTAAAAAAAATATCATTCAATGGCAATAACCCTGTAAAGAGTAAACTTACAATTTCAGTCATGTTGACATATTTGTAGATCTTGTCCTGCTGATCATCTTTTTATTTTTAAAGATACAAACTATCAATTATAGTTTTCAAGATAATAGGCAAAACACATTAAAAATCATCATTTAAGCAATGACTCCAATAAGTTGACTGGCAATTTCGACCACTGTCAGTTTTTTTTTCAATCTACGGTAAACGGTTTTCAATATAAAAGGCATTTTACCCCTATGCTCTATTTTTAGCACTGTTGGTTGGCAGAGCGGGGTTGTCAGACACAATTTTTGAACAAGATACCCAAAGGATGATTCTGGCTTTAGTTTCAGAGGAGAAGATTTTTGTTAAATTTAACAGATGAAGATGATGGACAGCATGTGATGAGATAGCTCACTCTGTCCTTTCAGCCAAGTGAGCAGAATGCCAAGGGGGAAATAAAATTCAATTAGTCGATGAAAACAGACAATACTATGGCCAAAAGAAAAAAACAAATACACTAAAATTAGTTCACAAAGCACTACTCAGAAAACTATTGAGCAAAATAAACCCCTCTTAACAATAGATAGTTCAAATCAGGTGCTCCAGAATGGTAAGTAGTCCACTAATGTAATCTATAGTTGCAATCTATGTTTACAGGGAATTGCACACATCTTTATTTATTCTATTTTTAATTATTATTTCCAAATCTTTCTATTACCAGTAAGTAATGTACAGTTACATAATTTTCTTTACCTGTACAAATACATAAAGATGATACAACTTTGTTATACTGGACCAAAGTAGAGATGAGGTGGAGAGCACATAGCACCATTTGTTTATCTGTCCTGCAGTCTAAAGCATTTATCAAAACTCTTCCGATATTTTCAGGCTGTAAACTAAAAAAAATATATGAAAAGAGTATTAACTTGCTGTCTATTTATTTTCTTCTTTAATTCTAGTTTATAAATTGTAAAAAGTAGGAAATATGCTTGCACAATTTTACCTGTAGTACGAGAAAACATGAGAGCTCCAAACAAAGATGGACATTTGCCCTCAGAAGTTTTGTTCACCTTAATGAAATTCAAAACTAATTAGAGCTATTGACCTATATATATTAACATGTAATTGACCTGTAATTTCCAGCTGTTGTAAAGATTTCAAACTGTTTTGCCTCCTAAAAAGTATGAACCAAAAGAAGATATGGGTACCTTTATCAAGTGAGGACTATGTCTGTCTTTCCCAATTGTTTGACTGAAAGTGGTTTTAAACAAAGTATCAACAGTATATCACAATATTCAGTTCAAGAACATATTACTGTAAAGATATGACAAAAATGATCATGAAAAAGATTACCAATATATATATTGATTGATTTTTGGTTGGTTGCTTAACGTCCAGTGGCAAATATTTCATGTATGTTCAGGACAGGAACAAGTTAACAATAAATACAATAGGTAGGTCCTGTAATAAGAGGCAGTCTGGGATAAAGGTAAGGGATAGTTGGACTGCCACTGGAAAATGAGAGACAATTGGATTGGGACAGTAAATTTAGCCTTGCAATAGGCCACCTACTGGCCCCTCAGAGAGTTGTTGCAAGGGTTCTAAACGTGCCAAGAGCATGGTGCTCTCTCTACACAAGACATCATATTTAACAGCCCAACTTTGACCAGATGTCAAAATATATAAAACCACTTTCCTTGACCCTGAGGCTAGTTTTCTTACAGAGGATATATTCTCAGTAGAGAGTACCAATTTTAATGTAATCCATCTGCCCTTTCATGGCATAAAAATTTTATTTAGTAGGAAGAAAATTGGGTGATTGTTTTCAAATCTCCAGTTATTTGTTTTAAAAAGTTGTAAAAGTTGTCAAAACTAAAGGGAAATAAGACCTCAAGATGAATGGTTTATCAACAATTCTTTCCTTTAATGAAACTGTACTTGTATAAGTAACCAATTACAAATGCAAAACCATACCTTACAAGCTGTTCCTAATACAAAACCATACCTTACAAGATGTTCTTCTGTGGTGTCACTTCCTAATACAAAACCATACCTTACAAGATGTTCTTCTGTAGTGTCAGTTCCTAATACAATACCATACCTTACAAACTGTTCTTCTGTAGTGTCAGTTCCTAATACAAAACCCTACCTTACAAGCTGTTCTTCTGTAGTGTCAGTTCCTAATACAAAACCCTACCTTACAAGCTGTTCTTCTGTGGTGTCAGTTCCTAATAAAAAACCCTACCTTACAAGCTGTTCTTCTGTAGTGTCAGTTCCTAATACAAAACCCTACCTTACTTACAAGCTGTTCTTCTGTAGTGTTAGTTCCTAATACAAAACCCTACCTTACAAGCTGTTCTTCTGTAGTGTCAGTTCCTAATACAAAACCATACCTTACAAGCTGTTCTTCTGTAGTGTCGGTTCCTTATACAAAACCATACCTAACAAGCTGTTCTTCTGTGGTGACAGTTCCTAATACAAAACCATACCTTACAAGCTGTTCTTCTGTAGTGTTAGTTCCTAATACAAAACCATACCTTACAAGCTGTTCTTCTGTGGTGACAGTTCCTAATACAAAACCATACCTTACAAGCTGTTCTTCTGTAGTGTCAGTTCCTAATACAAAACCCTACCTTACAAGCTGTTCTTCTGTAGTGTTAGTTCCTAATACAATCAAGATATCAAAACATTTCTGTACAACCAAACTATTATACCACCTTTCCTAAAACAATAAATGTTCAGTCTTTATCAAGTATTACCAAGAAGTTGCATGTCATGTCGAGCAAAGTTTATTCCCACTTTAATTAGAAACTGATAAAAAATTCAAGACTCAGTTAACGTTGGTATAATAAATATTCAAAGTCTCCCCAAATAGAAAGTTACTGTACATCATTTGAAAATTGTTTACACAGCACAACTCAACTTTATAAAGGTTTGAGACAGAGTATTAAAATCATTCCAGAATACATAAGACAAGAAACATTCTTTGCTCTGTGGGTAAAATAAAAGTTCAATGTATTGTCAAACAGAAAGTGACTGCAGGACAGATCTGAAAACCTAAGTAATAACAAAGGTTATGGACGCACCACTTGCTCATAGATAATTAATAATGTTAAACTTCATATTATTTACCTTTTGACCACAATCAGCTATTTTTATTACTTTCTTTAGAACCAGAAGATTCGAAAATTTCTCTGAAGATATTGACCAATCGGAATCTAGAGATGATTCAGGACTACTTTTATCTGTTTCCATTGGTTGCTCACCCTGTACAAAAATTAAGAGTACAATTATGTAATCAAAACAACAAAACAACAAAATAAAATGTTTAAAAACTTGAAAGATTTAATGATACAATATACTTTTCTATTTACTACTGTGTTCAACTGAAGTGGTAGACATAGAATATTATCTATCTATACATGTATTAGGGGATCATTTAAATTATCAACTGAATATTTAACCTTCTAAGGTAAAGGTCAATATTGGTTTTGTTTTCACTTCTTGTACTTTCATGAAGATAACCTGACTGCTTGTTTTATTGTATTTTTTTCAAAGATACCAATCTACATTTAGAAATCAGGGGTTTTAAAATATGTAATTTTAAGTCCAAAATTATTTTAACATTTGTTAGGTCCTTTCTTTAATATTCTGATGGACTTTCAAAAGCCATGCTGCTGCTTAAATAATAATAATGAAACCTAGTATATTTATGTACTGACCCCACTATACTTAAGCACCACAGTTTCAGTGATTATCTTAACATACATGTAGTTGATTAAAAATTCTCTAAATCTCTATTGAAGCTTTTAGTTTCATTAAATATATATGTATACCTCATCAGTAGATTCCATAGGTTGCAGTCCTTTTTCCACATTCAATAAAATGTTCCGTATAACAGTAGAAAATGACACCAATTTATGTAAAACTTGTAGTGTCACTAAAGCCATATTTTCTAAATTATTTGCAAAATCAGCACTATCCTTTAATAACATATCTAATGATCCAGTCAAAGATTGTATGGAACTGTCAAAACTTGATTTAGACGAACCTGATGAAGTATAAGAGCTACGAGGACTGACACATGTTCTAGCATCTAAATTACTTCTCAACATGTCAATATACTGAGCTAAATAATCGTCAATCATCGGTAAAATTAATATAGCACCATTTAATGTATTTTCTGTTAAAACAATATTTGTTTCTGTTCTACTTTGGAAAGTCTGTTGATTACGTAGTAAACATTTCATGCCATGAATTGCTGAAGAGTAACTGTCAGGGGAGATAATAGATTTTCTGACAGGTTTTTCAGGAGACACAATTGATGAATGCTGATGTTTCAATTCCAGTACTCTGCAAAACAAGAAATTGTTGAAAAATTTTCATACATACCACTGTGAGCATAATATACTTTAAATTTAATGATTGGAGTTCAAAAGAGAGGTTTATATGTGCCTATATATCTTAAGGATGTATTCTTCTGATGTTTCAGTCTTGTTGAAATCTCATTCGGGAATTATTTCCAAAACATGTGATACAAGTGGAAAATATTAATGAATTTAAAAAATATCATAATCAAACTAAACTCTGTGAAAAAATTGTGTACTTACAATAAGTAGTTTTTGAGTAACAAAATTTTGAAATTTTATAACTGTTCCGGTCAGTGTCAGCCAAAATGTTGATAAAAGGGGTGAGGAGTACAAAGAAATAATTTTTACCAAAAAAATGTACATCCTATATCATTTTTTTTCTGTTAAAAATTCTTAGATATGTTTTTTTTCAATCATTTAAAACAAAGAAGCTGAAATAATATGCTTTTTGTTCTATAAAAAGAGAAAAATCACAAATTTATAAAATTGACAGCACGGTCAATTTGACATGAAAAAGCAACAAATTTAAATAAAACTTTCTAATATTAACACCAACCTATAGTTTTTTTAAGTTAAATTTATTCAGATTGGTCCACTTCATCTTTAGTGAAAGTATGAAAAAAAGTTTGTGAAACTGATTTTTTTCATGATAATAGCCCAAAAATTTTAAAAATTGATGAAAAATGGGAAAATCATTAAAAATGAGGTACTTTCAAATGGCCGTAGCAAAAAAAAAAGTGCACCACCGTATGATTTTTTCTTCATCAATTACGTTCATAGTCATATAAACCCAAAAATCAGGTTAAGAAAAAAAGTTTTATTCTAGAAATTTTTGGCTTCTCAAAGGTGTACATCCTTAAATGATATGATCAAATTGATAACGGTTAATGTGCAATACTGATGATGTTGCAAACCTCAGACCATAAGGTATGTGTATACAAGATATAGATAAACCAGCTCTTGTAACTTTTAAAGTATGTAAAAAAAATGTAGCTTTAAACAAAAATTCTAAAGCCACAGGTGCTGCCACCCAATAAGCATTCTTATGTCTCGCCAACTGCAACATTTGTCGTAGGCCAGACAATACAAATTCTAACATGTACTGTTAGCCGATTTTATTTAGAATTCTTTAAGTTATAGTGACCTTTTATTATTTACTGGTGATAATAAGTTACTGCTGTCTCTATCAAACTGTAAAGATTGTAAATCTACTACTGAAGTCCTTTTCTGTAAAAGTCCCACAATTCCTTTCTCTTCTCCAGACTTTTCTGTACCTAGATCAGAATCTAACAAATCTGCCAGCAGTTCTACACCCGGAACATCACCTGTTCACAGAAAGGAATATTTCTTAACCTGTGAATTTATATATATTATTGCGAACCCAATGAAAGTTTTCCACAGTGCCATCTCTATCTTGACCAGGTATTTAAACTTTTGCAAGTTCACCTGTCCTATTGAATAGATACAATAGCTATTGTTCTCTGTGTAGTTTATTCTCTGGGACCTTTAAATTTCTTCTAAGAGAAATCTATCATTCATTGATTAAATTACCTGAGTAAAAAAAATTTCTTACATATAGACAAAAATACTGTTTTTATACTCATTAACTGCGTGTGATGATGTAGTTATTCAATATTAATAATATATTTTCATTCAGTTTAATATAAACATTGATTCAATCATAAAAATTTGATTTCTGACAAAACTTTCAACATTGTTCCTTTTAAAAAAAAATTTGTTTGACATGAATAAGAACTTGAAAATAATGATGTTTCAAATTAAGATCTTCTTAAATGTATTCTATAACTAAACAAAAAAAAATAAAATTTCAATAGGAACATTGATAAAACTTTTGTTAGAAATCAACTTTTTATGATTGAATCAATGTTTATATTAAACTGAATGAAAATATATTATTAATATTGAATAAATACATCAGCACACGCAATTAATGAGTATAAAAAAAGTATTTTTGTCTATATATAAGAATTTTTTTTTACACAGGTAATTTAATCAATGAATGATAGATTTCTCTTAGAAGAAATTTAAAGGTCCCAGAGAATAAACTACACAGAGAACAATAGCTATTGTATCTATTCAATAGGACAGGTGAACTTGCAAAAGTTTAAATACCTGGTCAAGATAGAGATGGCACTGTGGAAAACTTTCATTGGGTTCGCAATAATATTGAATAGAAACATCATCACACCCAATTAATGTGTATAAAAGAAGTATTTTTGTCTATATGTAAGAATTTTTTTTTACTCAGGTAATTTAATCAATGAATGATAGATTTCTCTTAGAAGAAATTTAAAGGTCCCAGAGAATAAACTACACAGAGAACAATAGCTATTGTATTTATTCAATAGGACAGGTGAACTTGCAAAAGTTTAAATACCTGGTCAAGATAGAGATGGCACTGTGGAAAACTTTCATTGGGTTCGCAATAATCATTCTTCAATATAACAACTACATTTCTTAAATAAGAACTTTTAGGTTGCAACTGCAAGCATACATTAAGAATTACAAATATAAATTACGGCTGTTAGAAACTAAATATTGGTTATGGCTTTAGAACTATTCCAAAGTACGAAGGTAGCTAAAAAATCATTATTTTTAACATGTTTTGAATTCTTACTTGTCTCATTGGCAATCATACCAAATTTCTGTATTTTTATACTGGTTGTCATGAAGTCAGAATGTCTCCAGTTGAGTAATATGTCTCCCTAAGGGCTGCTATCTTGTGAGCTAGCACATACAAATATCTGTATAGTTCAGTGTGGGGTTAATATTTATACCACATTAACATGCTCTTGTCCTGTGTATGGTTGAAGATTACCATCCATCTGTTTATTTGCAGAAAAGATCTCATCTTAATTTATTTAAACTTTATATTTAAGATATCATTTCTTCTGAGTTTTTTTTTTTTTTCATCAAAGTGTATAATTTATTATTTATGTGTACCTCTTGGGCATCTTAATTTTAGCCTAAAATGTCTAGGATTTGAAGATTCTGCATTAATTGGCTGCTCTGTTGCCATGGCCATGGTACCTACAAAATATTTCAAGATTGATATAAAAATTGGATCAAAGCCTACATACAAGGGTTTATTCACCACATTGCTGAACAGTTGTGGTCTAAAGGCACTCAGTTGAGACTGTTTACACAGAGATATGTTATGCTTGTTTGTAATTTAGAGTGTATAATGCAAATGTTGAAATTTAAATGGCAGCTATGGAAAACTTTCAAAGTCAATCATCTGAGGAGGCAGGGCCAAATAATCTCCATGGAAATGAGATATGCAGATATTAATACAACTGCATACAAAATAAAAATTGATTTGCCAGTTCTGGTTCCTTTGAAACTGACCTAATCATAACACTTTAGCAATTATTGCCATCGCCAATGACTGAAACAGCATTGAATGCTAAATGTATATGGTTATCATGGTCTTGTCATATCATTTTGGTTACTTGCTGTCAAACCTACACCAAAGTTTCTGTATTTCTACATGATGCTGACCAAGGATCCGGATATTTTTTCAAACTGTCGAAATTATTCACACTAGATTCATAACATCCAAGAACGTGTGTTGACTGTTTCATCACATTTACTTCATGAATTTTCTTACCATCAGTTAATGGAATGCAACAGTTTAAAATTGAAATGATTTTATGACTCAAAATGGTAAATTTTCTCAGACATCGCTGACATTTCTTTCTTTCTTTTTGAAGACGAAAATTAAAACTGGAAGTGCACGATCAATACTAAAATAGGAGTAAGTCTGGATTCATTTCAGGGATTCGTTCTGTTTATCATATTGACAGGAAATCAAGGGATTTTTAATTTTATTACCTTTAAATGTGTTTGAACATAACAGATAATAGTTGCATTCATTTAATTTAGCATGAAATTATGCATATTACAATTAAGTGGGTAATCTGGTGAAGACAATTTCACACATGCTTATTACATAGTAAATAAAGCACACGTTTGACTCAAAAAATTACTTCTTTAACATAAATTAAATCAAATTTTAATTTTAACTCAGAATTGTCGATTTTTCTTTGCTGAAAAGTAATTGAATAATGAAGACAGTTGTCATGGAATTTTAATTTCTTTATAACATTAGTTCTGAGCTTGTGATCACTGTCAGGTGTGAATTAAAAACACAGGTAAAAAGTGATTAGCGATCATTAGCCAATATTTCCCAGAGGCATTAATATGATTATTAGGAGGGCCTTCAGGACTCATCATACTGTACTGGAGTGGCAGTTTTATTACAGGAAAGGGATTACAAAACAAAAACAAGTGCAAAATGGCAATAAAGAAATTAAAACCGATCTCATTGAAATGACCGAAATTATTTCTGTAAGAAAAAAATATTTTGTCCTAAATCCCAATCTGCCGTTTAGGACAAATAGCTTTCAGTTTAGGACATGACTGGCAAATATGACCGTTTCCGGACCCTTGATGCTGACAAATAATTCAGTTTGTCCTGTAAGTCCATTCATTTATTAACATAATGTCAACAAAATGCACAAACCTGCTGGACGTTCAAGATTACAAGACTTTTTTTTTAATAATGTATCTATAGCTATCTATTACACTACCAGAACTACCTTCATCTCTTGTTTCTACCAGTTTGTAACCAGCTCGACTTGTTGATGGTTGTGTCATAAAATTTTCAGCCATAAAACTTTGTGACGTAGGAAATGATGACCGTCCCTTGGGTGATTTTTCTTCTGTTTTCTGCTTCTTAACAACAGGACTTGATACACGAGGACTACGAACAGGACTGACACTGGGCCCTGCAGCAGAAGCTGATTCTAATGTTCTACATCTGTCCCTGAAATTATCCAGTTCCTTGTCTTTGAATTGTAACTGTGTAGTCAGCTTGTCAACTTCAGTCTGTAAGTTTTTTTCTTTCTCTGTTTGTTCCCTTTTCTGTTGTTCTATATATTTAGCTCTTTCTTGTCTTATGTCTCCCAACTCTGCATCTTTCCTTGAAAGGTTATCTTGTAAAATCTTTAGTCTTCCTTCATTGGAATATCTGTCATCTTTAGCACTTTCAAGCTAAAAATATTAGACAAATAGTGTTGTTAAATTATTGAGAAATAGACCAGTTTCACATAAGCGACTTATCAACGCTGATCTCGAAATCTTATGCGCGTTTGAGTTTAAATCCCGCGATAATTAACGATATCATACGTGACAGGGGGCTACATCAAATTGACTCTGATATTTAGCAACACAATAATAAATCAACCGATAATACACATCTCTCTCTCGTGGTGTATGCTGGAGATTATTCAATTTTACGATTTATTAATAAATATTCAGAATAAATAGTTTGACCGTTTATACAGAGAATAACATAAATTTAAAATCAAAAAATATCCACCAGAGCCAAATGACAGACGAAAGCAACCATATGTCACCATACAGCCCTCAACAATGAGAAACTCTATACCGAATAGTAAGCTCTAAAAGGTCACGACATAAAACAATTCAAACGAGAAAATAAGTCATCTTGTTGCTGTAAAGAGTTTCTAACAGCTGTGTTTATGGGTTTAAAAAGTATTAATCTTGTAATTGCTTTCTTTTGCTTACTGCGCTATGTACATTGCTGTATGTCTGTTTGATTTTTCGAGAAAGAGAAAAATATTTTGATAAAAAGAAAACAACCTAAACATCAGAAATACATTTAATTTCAGTTCTGTTCCAGTATCAATTCCCAGTTTTTCTTAAATATTTTTTTACATCTTCTTGCGACATGCATGTAAAGGGTTGCGGCCTACATATAGGTTTAGTATCATAGACTCGAACTTTTAATTTTCTTTTCGACAAAAACAAGTTACTGTTATGGTGACTTTTGTGTGAATTTTTATGGGTACAAGGACATTGTCAAGTTACAAGCACTACTAAATAATCGAAATTTCCACTAATGGTAGTATGGAAGTATAAACGAAAATTGATAGAATTTTTCCTTATATCCTTTGTTGAAGATGTAGTATATATTGTGATATGTTAAAAATATGAAAAACCCAATGATAGGTCACCAATTTGTTTTCAAGCTACATGCTGTGAAAAAAAATGAAACATTTTGTATAGATTATACAGAGAAATTTTTAAGGTATCATTATATGAATATTTGAAGGTAAAATGAATGATAGAATTTCAAAATAAAATGTGAGAAGATAGCTCTTATTAAATGCTTTCAGAATACAAACAGAAAAAATTGAGTCACCATGCGTTTTATCCTGTTTGGCATACATGGCATATAACATAAAATAGAAAACTTGTCAGTTAATTGTAATAGACATATAGAAGACAGGGCCCTGGCTCCGTGTTGAAGACCGTACTTTGACCTATAATTGTTAACTTTTTATACATTGTGACTTGGATTGAGAGTTGTCTCATTGTCACTCATACCACATCTTCTTATTTGTATGTACATTTGTTTCAAATATTTCTGCGTCAGTGATGTTTAAGACGGTCATGATAATAAAGTGAGATATAAGGCAGTTTTAATTAAGGGCATACGATACAGTAGAGATCCCTCATTGATTTTTTCTTGAAATTTTGGTAGAAGGTCAATTTCGATGTGTACTTTTGAAATATGCAAAGAAAAATATACCTTCATGACTTACTTTTTGAGATATAATTCAACCGGGTTTTTTTGTAAAATGTTCCCTTGATCCATGGCATCAGCATGCTGTAACAAGTTAACGGTTGAAATAAATAATTATATCCTAAATTCGTTTAATACAAGTGAAATAAAGAAGATGAAAATATTTTTGCGTCTACACAGAAGTGCAGAAAAAATTCTATCGTTGATTTTTTCTTAAAATTTTGGCGGAGTGTTCTTGAAACAGAACTTGATTGATTGCAAAAGAAAAAACTGGGGGTCCATGTGCTTGTTTTTTCAATAAAAGCAATAAACCTTAATTTTTATTGGCAAACGGGACAATAAGGCGCCAAACTACGTTGGAATAAGTTTTATTCGCAACAACGTCGTGAAATCTTTCCCGCCGTTCACTACTACGTTGTCAATTTCAGTGGTAGAGCCAAGGTGTTTTTTTTTAAACCAATGATATTACTCATGAAAATTAATAAAGCTGGCTCCTCGTAAATAGCATCATATTTGCCAAACCTTTATGAATTGTTACGAAACTTGGATAGAAAAAGTATTCTAGTAAATTACTTTTAGAAAAGACATGTTCGGAAACAAAACAGATATATATAATAAAAAAATTAATTTGCATCTCTGCATGTCCGACATTAGTCATACAATTCATGTAGACAACACAGCTTGAACATAGTTTTAATTGTTCAAAAGGCCCCGACATGACAAAATGTGCAACAATTATAAAGTAAGGGGGATGATATAAAAATAAGGACATTTGGTATGATTGCAAAAGAGACAACTATCAACCATAGTTCAAATGACGAAGATAAACGCTTAAAGGTAACCCTACGGCCTTCAACACAAAAAAAAAAGAAAAAAAAAAGCCACACCGTATAGTCAGCTTTAAAAAGCCCCGACATGAAAATGTGAAACGACCTACTCTATAGGCATTACATGAACACAAAATCATACCCACATTAAATCGGGTCAGCTTAGTCCATTACAGTGTAGTACTAGTATAACATTTCATACAGCAGTCGATATAAAAGCATGAAATTTAATGATTCTGTATCAATAGATAAGTTACCAAAGCTTGTCTTCAGGGTATTTTTTTTATTACGGTACATATAATCATTCAATTACTTGTCTGTATTATACCTTCAATCTAGGAGTGAGTGCAACCACATTGTTTGTCCGGTCCAACAAATATTTTGTTTCTTATCTGAGAAACTTCTTTACAAAAAGACTTCGTATTGTTCAGTAACTTAACATCAATGAGTTGCAACTCTGGTCTGTCAAATACCTAATTCCTGTGTGCCGATTTTTCTCTCTCAATATGTACATAGAGGATATGCTTAGAACATCAACGGGTGCGTTTTTGTTTTTGGGCTATAATACGGGGCTTATAACTGTGTCATTTTAACTGACAGTTCTTCTTCATACACATATATATTCCACGGGTTAAATTCTAAAAATGTCATTAAACTCTTTATTGTACCTTTTCAAAGTCAGGAACAGTAAGATGCGTTGTCATTATTTATTACGTTTTTTTGTGATCCAAATGGTGAAGATACTATATAAATTACTTATTGTTTTGGTTTTTTTTTTGTGTAGTTGGGTTTCTCTCTCATCGACGTCTTATGTTTTTCATATCTCTTATTCATTTCCTATATGAAATAACAGACATACAAAGTTAAGAATGTGGATTTGATTTTTTTCCAATTCGAAGTTAATATTGTTGACTTCCTTATTAATGAATAAATATAACAATTCTCGTGATTTGGCCGATTTTCATTGCAGGTACTTTTTTCAATTTCGTGCAATCGGAATTATGACGTCAGTGGATTTTTCGCAAATGTGACTACATCTAAAGCGATGTCGCGAAATGTAATCGTTCTTATTAGAAACATCGCGAAATTACAACGTTCTGATTAACAACGTCGCGAAAACAACACGAACAGTTTTGAAAACGTTATTATCTGCCCCTGCTACTGTATCGTATGCCCTTAAAATACGTATCAGAAATACAGGTTTATCTTCAATTTTCAAACATCACACTATAATACAATGCATTCAATACCATTTTAATTTCTAAGCTATATTCATGATCGACCTAGTCTAAGCAGAGGTTCAGTGCCAGTGGCCAGAGTAATGTTCTACATATTTTCAACTTTATCAGTTTTCATGCCATTAAAAGTAATTGAATATCCTGTATTTACCACGCTTTACCATAAAATAATATCAAACTGCTTAATGACCCTCCTCCTAAATTATTAAAATATTCCCAGTGGCATTAACCGTACTGGCCATGATATCTCAGTGTAAATTAGGTACCAGGGTTAACATTTTAAACATCTGTATTAGGGGATGACCATTTGATTTTCAGGGGGGGGGGGGGGGGGGGGGGGGGGGTAGAAAATTAATATTCTAGTAGGAGTTAAAAATAAATAATTATGACCAGAAGGCAGGATGGAAAAGAATAATCTGCAACACAAAATGCAGGAAATATTTGTGTACAAAAGTTGAATAAACTAATCAAATGGTCGCCCTTTTTCAGTAACTGTATGTATAGAAAAGGATATGTTTTTATCAATTGTCACCTGGTGAGATTGTACAAGGTAAAACGATGATTCCACATGGCTAAGGTCTTAATTGACTTCTTAATTTATGACCTAATACTATGTATATGAAGTGAGCCCCGCTTATTTATCTAATTTATTCTTCCCGTTAAGTGAACGACCTCAGCATGAATTCGTGACAATTAAAGGTACAATTAAACCAGGCGGTATATCAGATTGTATATTACTGCAACCAACAACACAGCAGTAGTCCGTTTTAAAATCTTTTAATGTGTCATTGTTAATAAAGTTGTCTCGTCAATATATTTTTATTATATTTTGATTCAAATGATGCTCATGGACATGTAAACGCAAACACTTAATCAGATGATTGTTTTTTCCAAATCTGCATGGTAACTGCTTACCAATCGTTAGCCCCCAGTTGATGAACTCTCGGTAATTATCGCGTGATTTCATAGTTTGGCTAATTAGATTAGACATGCGCAGTTTAATGTGAAACTGGTGTATTGCAACTTATGATCATTCATAATTAATTAAGCCAAACCAACGGATTATTGATTATGTTATCTGTTGTCTCCAACAGGGACATGAACCAAATATTCATTATGCTAAAACATTACCAATATAAAAAGTTAGGCCATAAAGTTCATGGACTATGCAACAAAATATCTTACTTTACAGTTTAGAGCATATCTGAAGAATTTCAACATATACTGCAACCATTTAAAGTTGGCTCCAAGCCTTTCTCATTGCAATTCAAAATTTAGAATCAACTGTCTAGTTGGATTGGGTGAACTGACAGATTTTCAATAAGTCTACAGAACATCATTACAGACAAACATCTTTTAAGGATACTCCCTGGTTAAATTCATGAATGATTGATTGATTATTGCTTGCTCATCATTCATAAATGAAGTCTTTTCAATTGATGTTGTAAAATACATATTTTTTTTAAATGAAGACATGGGTAGTGTTCTTTAGATACAACAATTTCGAAAAATGACACGTTACAATTCGGGCCAAACTGTCCCTAAAATAAAAGGGGATAAGTAAAGCAAGAAATGGGGGGCAATATGAGATGTTCTCCTACAATTATACTATATATAAAATAAAGTTTATTTAATATTAACTTATAAGTGCTTAAAAAGTATTTGAGAAACTTAAAATATTGGTAACAGAACTATGAAAAAGAGATCAGATGAACCATCTATATACCATATATAATTGACCTATCATCACCATCATCATGTCAAGTCAGATGAGCCCTGTCAGACAAACATGTCACCTAACAATCATTCCTTACACCCAATTTATTTGAATTGCTTATATATATATGTAGTATCTGAAAAAGGGACCTATATGTAAGAGCAATAACATAACATTGACCTTTATGTAACAGCAATAACATAACATTGACCTATATGTAAGAGTAATAACATAACATTGACCTATATGTAACAGCAATAACATAACATTGACCTATATGTAAGAGTAATAACATAACATTGACCTTTATGTAACAGCAATAACATAACATTGACAGGCCTCTACAATAACTTTTTTTTCAACTTGTCCAGTAGGACAAGTACATACCAAAACTTACTTGTCCGAATGAAATTGTAACTTGTCCAAAAAAATCTTAATAATAACCTTTTTTGCATTTTAAGTTGATTCAAGGAACAAAATGAATTAAAACAATAGAACAGAATTTGATTTATATCTTTTGAAATACTATTCAAAAATATGAGTCGAATACAACTGAATCTAGTCATGTCACAGAACTTAGGTTCTACATGTAGTTCATCAATGCCAAAGTCTCATCAGATTCTGCACATGAGGCACCGTCTGATAGGGCTGTCAATGTACACTCATTGGATTTGTATCCTGGTTTTTTACAGTTGAAAAAAGTTTATTCAAATCAATAAAAAAAAGATGAGGTATGATTGCCAATGAGACAACTCTCTGCAAGAGACCAAATGACACAGAAATTAACAACTATAGGTCACCATATTGCAAGTATTGTTTTTTTTTTCTACATATGATCAAATATGATTTTGTGAATTTAATGGTAAATAATTTTTCATTTTTATCTAAAAAATATTTTTGTTAAAAAAATTACCGGTATGTTATTTATTATAAAGCAACAGAATAAGGTAGGAAACCGAGATACTGATTTGTCTTGGTCCCGAAATGTCTCCTGCGTTGCCAAACTGTCTATTAATCATGTCTATTAAATATGTCTCCTATGGTGCCAAACTGTCTATTAAACATGTTAAAATTGGAGCCGAATCGTTTCTGAGCTTGTGACCAACTGTCTTGTAAAGTTACCTTATCTACAAAGCGCATCGCTGATTCGGATCAGTAAGACTGGTTTCCTAGAATAGTATGCATTTTACCTGTTAAAAAGTACCTGACAAAGAACCAGTTTTAAATTATCGATTGCAAGTAAACATGTCTTGTTTTCATCATCTTTTCTTGTTTTTTGTTTATAATTACTTTGTTCATCAAAGTTGGATTAAATTTATTTTCTGCAGAATAATTTTACTTGTCCCGTCGGACAAGCTTGATATAGTTTTTACTTGTCCGACCCTTTTTCCCTCTGGTACCGGACAATCGGACAAGCGTTATTGTCGAGCCCTGATTGACCTATATGTAAGAGTAATAACATAACATTGACCTATATGTAAGAGTAATAACATAACATTGACCTATATGTAAGAGTAATAAAATAACATTGACCTATTTACAACAAAATGTATGAATCAGGAAAATAAGGTCAAAATAGATAAACCCTTTTCCATGGAAATATATTTAACGTTTTACGGAAAATATGTCACAAAATGCCATTTGTTGTGAAAAAGGTGAGTTTTCTACTCCTGTTTGAGAATGGAAAATGTAGAAGGGTAGAAAGACAGAGTTATAGAAAAGAAAAGAATTTTACAATACCTCTTTTTGAAGACGCTGACATTCTTGTTTCAGTTTGTCAATTTCAGCTTCAATAATAGGATTCTTCAGATACATGGAAGTGAGGGACTGATCATTGGCATCGAGGGAATGCGATGAAGAAGTACGCCTACTCTGCGGTGCAAATGGTATCTCCTCTGAACTACCTTATCAAAAGATAATGTCAATTAATATCATATTTTATAATAAAAATCCATATTTTTTCAAAAATATCAAATAAAGATTAATGATAAACAAACAAAGTTTTGCCATGTAGTTTCTGAGAAGAGCTTTGAAAACAAGTAAAGCTCACTGATGATACCCCCGCCGTAATATTTCGGTAAACAGGAAGTTGTTGAGTGATGAATCAGAAAACGCATCACACATAAAGTTGACTTATATAAACCCTGAAACCAAATTTCAGAAATCCTTGTAAAGTATTTCCTGAGAAAAATGCGACGAAAACTTTCAACTTGGCTATCATGTGTGAAATAATACAAGTGTTCTGTAAACATGAAGTTGTTGAGTGATGAATCTGAAAACGCATCACACCGTTTAACTTACTTATATAAACCCTGAAACCAAATTTCAGAAATCCTTGTCAAGTAGTTCCTGAGAAAAATGCGATCAAAATATTCATGGGACGGACTGATGGACTGACGGAAGGACAGACAGAGGTAAAACAGTATACCCCCCCTTTTTTAAAGCGGGGGTATAATAAAACAGTATACCCCCCTTTTTTAAAGCAGGGGTATAATTAGCTAATCGATATTAGAGATGCCCATATTTTCATCAAAGTGAAATCAGAGAAGTTGGAAATAGGAAGAGTTTACATATAGAAAACAAATCATTTTTTTCTACATGTACACTACAATCTACTTTGACTTGGTTTTTGTTTACGGCTATTTCAGAAAAAAATATATAGGGGGATGGGGAGGGGTGTGTGGTTGGAAGGCAGTTTAATCATTTTTGTTTGAGTGGGGGTAGGTCACGAAGTTCATATTGTTTGGTTATGTATATGCCGAGTAAAATGCAATTGTATGGGTAATGGCCATAAAAAAAAAAAATGATTAGTGCCTTCCAATATTGTTTTTTCTGGAATATCAGTTACCATGCTTACTTGGTATCTATTTTTACAAAAATAAATAATGTAGTTTATTGTTTTCAATCAAACAAATGCCAATATATCAAATAAAAATAGCATGAAACAAGTGCAGCCTAGTGATCTTTTTGAATGTAACAAACAATTTTTTAAATTTTTTTTATACACTAATTAAGAAAGGTATAAATTTCATCAAATTTACTTTCCAAGGAAATTGAGACACTAGCAACAAAATATTTTCAAGAAGTTAATTTAAAATTCAGTTTGGATCTATCTACAGCTACATGTAAGTGATGTCTGTCCATAACATATATACATGTAATCATTAAAATTATGCAGTGATCTGGAAGGATTTTTTCTCTATGGGCCCAGGGCCCCCCAAAAATAAATTCAATGAGCCATTTTTAGAATTAATGGGCCATGTTGTCAAATGAGTGGGCCATTCGTTTACAATAAAAAAAATCAATAAAAAAAGTGTATATTTCACTGTAGTTGTCAACGTATATTTGTTCCGCCTAACAGAAGTTCCACTGGAAACTTTGTTATAAACAATGTCATAATATCTATTCCTGTTGGAACAAATATTCTATACCATTTATTCTGTTAGGAACATATACTGTAATATTTATTCCTGTGGAAATAGTATTCCAGAATATTTTTTCTTTTTGGAACTTATATTATGAAGGAACTTCTATTCCGTGACATACTTACAAGTATGATTCTAATTAATATCATGGGTATTGTTCCTGTGATTTTTTTAATTTCAATTTCAATGAATATACAATAACTTCTTCCAAACCGGGCAATATTTACGATAACCTTTATTTACAATGTTAAAACTTGTACTGCTCCCTTGTTCATGTTCATGTTTTTTTTCATTAAATTTGGGTCTTCGTCGATACCATACTTATTCCAGACGTTCCGTATTAGAGGACGTTTCTGGCATTTCCTCTGCACTTGTATTATTATTACTTCATCACGATGACAAGAATAACAATAGAGAGCAACGTTAATTGATAAGAAACAACAACAATTCGCTGAAGGCATGTTTACAAAATGTCAAAACGAGCCAATGACCAAAAAAATTGACAAGGACAGTTAAGCCCCTTTTATGGAGACAAATACTATGCTATTCATAAAAAGGCTTTTGGATTTTTCAATCGAAATAATAGCAAGCTTACTTAAAAGATTATAATTAGAGAAGAATTATCGCCTGTACTAGCCAATTTTCACAAATTTAAAGTTGTTTATAAAAAATTATATCATGAATGATGGTTAATTACGTTTTTTGGGTAATCAGTCATACCGCATGTTGCTATTATTACCATAGGAAAACACCCGAGACGTCCCAAATATATATGCTCCTATCATTGGAGTAAACACTACACAGTTGTGTACTCACACATGGCGGCACGTAATACGATCGGAAATCCATTTGACGATATCTCAACGTTTCAAAACGAAGTGAAAAATATCATGCGCCATGCGGGCGCTTACATTTGTCACTCTATGCGCCATTTCTGGTCGATAAGCGCAATTGGCGCAAGGCGCACGTCCTTCCCGATCACTGAAATTATGTACAATGTAGTTAAACCAAGGTACATGTTTCGCTTACCTTTAATTGAAAAGGCAATAATAATGAAAATGCACAACAGGATTTTTTACTTACACATGTATAAACAGTGCTCCAGCTAGAAATCAAAAGGGGCAGGGTGCCAGTGGAGGGCAGGGCACTTTTTTATGAAAGGAAAAGGCACTGTTCATTTTTTTTGTCTACGTTTCTGTGTGTATCACGAGTTCACATTCTTTTTTTTTACTGTATATGTTGTTAATAAAGATGCATAAGTTGTTGTTTTGATTATTTATTCTATAAAATTTGCATTAGAAAATGTAATTCATACGACATGTTCATAAAACATGTCAATACACATTCATACATCACATCACTATAAACCAATAGAGGCAAATTAACTTACTATTCTCCCCCCCCACTTTTCCAAAAAAAAAAACAACATAAACTAAACATCTCATAGTTTAGAATACATGTGACACAGTTGTCATATTTCAAGATTTTCAGCTAGTGTTTGGCCCTCAAAACTTTTTTTCATTGTTTGTGTTCAGGAATCATTTAATAAAGCTTCATCAAGTTGATGTCATGATAGTTTAACTTCTCACTACCCATTTTTGTAGGATTGCAGCTTAACATCAACATAGCAATTTAACTTACAAATTTCTTAGTTGACAATGTATACAACATGAATTGCTAAAAGTATGATTATCAAAAATAAATTGCAATATATTTTTTTTGGTATGTTCAAAGACAGTTATATCCTTAAGGTAACATTCTTATATAATTTTGTATTCAATTGGTTATTTATTCCTATTTTTAGTACTAGATAATATTTTAGGGACACAAATTTGTAATAAGCTAAAACAGGGGAAGTAACTCCAAAATTAATTTCTAACACGTTTACTGTTTGCTTGTCGCTCACAAGTTGAGATGGACGGTGTTTCTGTAACGGCATAGTTGTATTTTGATGACTTAAACTGTCTTAAATTCTATTCTAAAGTCATGGAAGTCTTCATTTATACACTCTTCTTGGAGATCGAAAATGCCGACCCAAGCTAAAAACACTCACTGACACATTCATCAAATTTATGACAAAAAGGTACATTTGTCTTAATTAAATTACCTAGTTATTAACACCTTTGAAGTCTTATCCACTGTAATTGATTGTAATGACATGATTAACCTGGGGGCAATCACCTAGTGTCATATATGTAATTTAACTTTGTGATAAGAAATCGATGAAACAAAAGGCAATTTTACCAAAACGGCACAAGGGCTTTTGGGAAAAAGGCGTCCGGGCAGAAGGGCACGGATGAAGGCACATAGGGCGCGGCTGAGGGCACCCAGGGCTGGCGCCCTTCTATTTTGGGCTAACGAGACCACTGATAAATAATTGTGCATTTGTGTTTTTTCATATATAAACAGTTTGCACACAGCTACAAATAAATGAGTGAGATTGACCTATCTTTATAACTCTTTGCTAGCTGGTACAGACAACCAACCATCATAACTAGAACCCAACACTTTTGTTTACAAGCAATGAGTAATAAACAGAAAATAAAGTAAGGGATTAAATTTAAATATTATAGTAGACTGTTTCTGTAAAAGACAGGTTCTTTAAAAGAAGCAAAAAAAAACCATTTATTTAATAAAGTCAAAAAGTCTAATATTACAAAGGATACAATAATGCTACATGCAAGTTATAACAAGATTGACTTACATGAACTGGTATTTCTACTAGTAGATGTTGATGCTGGGTTCAGAGATTCTGAAGATGAAGAGCTGTTGACAGGATGAGGCTTTATAAATGAATGCTGATAGTGTCCAGAGGACATGGAGGACCTGTCTGATCCAGATTTTGATAGTGATAATTTAGGTCTTGCTGCCCCAGATGGTCCTGGATCAGCTGAGTTGTTTCTAGATGTGCTCCCATTTGTTACTGACTGAGAGGCAATTACTTCAGTGTCGAGGTTTTCAAAGTCTTTCTGAGTCAGTTCAAAGTCATCATCATCATCACCCCATAATTCATCTTCATCTTCAACCTTTCTTTTCTTTGGTGCTGGAGGTTTGTCCATACTGTTAACTCTTAGCAAGTTAACAGGGTTTCTTGGTAGGTTCTTAACTTGAGGTGTGTATGAAAATTTTTTTCCTCTAAAGCAGGAAAACAAAGAGTTAGCTGCCATCATATGGAGTTACATTTTCATTTCATATTTTCAAACTCTGCTCCTCCTATTTCCATTTTTATTATGTAACTTTTTATCTGTAAAAATAATGACAGACATTAAGAAAGCAAACCGGATAGCTACACCATAATAAAATATATCCCCTGTCACTATGTAAATACTTGTATGTACATGTACGGTATAGAATTGTAAAAGAGGAATAAATTCATTAGAAATGTGTATTTTGTGCTTTTTGTATTTGTTCTTGTTGTTCAATAGGCAGATCATGGTGTTAATGTGTAATCATAATGACGGTACAATATGGTCAATTACACATGAAAATCCTACCAAGGTCTCAGAGGAGTTGCGTTCACAAGGTGTCGTTGTGATAAGGCAGTAAATGTTCCGATAAAAATAGTAAAATCAAAATAAAGTATATATGTTTTTACATACAATGTAAATGTATGATGGCAAACAATTCTAGCAAGATCAACTCAGTGTCAGTGTGGTATAAAAAAAAAGTCCAAAAATGATCAAAGACCCACAACTCCAGTAAAATGGTCAAATAAAATTGACAGTAAATTATGGTCAACTACACAAAATGGAAAACACTCCAACCAAGTATGAAAGCTTTCTATCAATTGATCTTAGAGGAATTCCATTTAAATGGTCGGAAGCAGGACAAATCGCCCCACTGGCAAATCGCCCCACACCTAATCGCCCCACTTTTTCACCAACTCGCCCCAACTGGTTTACCAACTTGCCCCACTTTTTAAAAAATCGCCCCACTTTTGAAAAGGGTTAAATCCCGTTAATATTACTCCTGCCAACTCGCCCCACTTAATGAAAAACGGTAATATCTAGATGAATATATAATTTTCATGTCTGCCAACTCGCCCCACTTAAATGAAAACTAATCTACACAGAATACAAAAAAACGAAAATTTATTTAATTATTATTATTGAAATTAAATGATGTTTCACTTTCTGAAATTATAATTCTAAATATAATTTTCATATTATTGCAGAATAACTTTATTCTTGTAAGCTTATAGTTATTTGCATAACAATTGAAAAGAAACCTCTTAATTGTATCATAATGCGATATATCATAACAATTGAAGGATTTCAATTAACAGCAATTTGTTATCATAGCACTTACCGGATTGGTTACTTTTGTCTTTGAATTAAGAATAATTAAACACTAACGAGCAATCAGTGAAAGGCAAATGTAACTTTCAAGTAAATATCAAAGAGAATGCCCATTCTTTCATTTACAATAAGCGTGTGTCGTGTTTTTGTTAGTAAAAGTAGTCAAATAAAATTGAGAATGGAAATGGGGAATGTGTCAAAGAGACAACGACCCGACAACAGCCGAAGGCCACCAATGGGTCTTCAATGCAGCGAGAAACTCCCGCACCCGGAGGCGTCCTTCAGCTGGCCCCTAAACAAATATGTATACTAGTTCAGTGATAATGGACGTCATACTAAACTCCAAATTATACACAGGAAACTAAAATTAAAAATGATACAAGACTAACAATGGCCAGAGGCTCCTGACTTGGGACAGGCGCAAAAATGCGGCTGGGTTAAACATGTTTTTTGAGATCTCAACCCTCCCCCTATAAGCAGGTTTTGTTGTTGTTGAAAAATTGATTGGTAAGTTTTGTTTATGCTTTGAAAACAAACAAAAATGAGAAATTTATGTCTATAAGCTGGCGATGTACGCCTTGTAAAGCACCCAACCCAGATGATCAGTCTTTACTGCAGACAGACCTTGCAGACCAGTCCGTTCATCAAGACCAAACAGATTCAGACCAACAGCCAGATGACCCAGAGGTGTTTCAAGAGGCCAAGGTAATCATGATGTACATATTACCAGCAGTGGCAGACAAATTGGGATTAGGTGTATATGTCAGCTTGACATCCTTGGTGGTGTTGGATATTACATGTAAGTAAACGTTCTTTTTGAAATGCAAGTACATGTAGACAACAGGCCATTATTTTTCTCGATGCAGGACGTGACGGCCATACTGCCATGACGTCCATAGGATGAAACGGCCATACCCCAAAAAGATGAAACGGCCATATGACAAAAACGGCCATACTTTGTGAAGACGTATCGTCCATGGTTTTTTTTTTTTATATAGATGTTATATATATGTATGAATTATTTTGATACTTAAAGATGGTTATTATAACTTTTAAATAAACTTTACTGTTTTTATATTATTTATCATGTTTAATTTTGTTATATCATTTGTTTACTCATTATATATATATCATAAATGAATGTGTTTAATCTAATAAAATATTAAAATATCATATTGTTTTCTAAATGATTTTTTGATATCTTGCGTATAACAAACAGAACAAAATGAACAAATATGAATGACTATATCCGAATGGGAGACTAATTTCTGTCAAAATTAAAACAATAAGTTCAGTTTTGAAATATAAAACAAGGTAATCAAGTAATGATTAAGTTTGAAATTTAAGAAGATTGTTGATTGCTTATTATTACTTCTTTGATGAACACAAGTATTAATTATGCTTTTGTCAAGAAATTGTAATGGAAATACAATTCAAGATCACTATAAAAACACAACACCCAAGCTGAGTTCAAGCGGAGTGCAAACATACATTTGGTTGTGAAATTCTTGTAAAAATACAAGCTGTTTGAGCAGTCTTTTTGATGTACCGACCTTGCTTTATAAAAGTAACCAGAAATGTCGGTGGCACTCATTTGGAAAATTGCTGTTCATCATGTCGTACCCTTGTGTGCTATGTGACCAGCAAGTCCGACCAAGACAACATGCTCTCCAATGTGAGGATTGTGATAAATGGCAACACAGGCTTTGCAATACAGGTATTTACAAATTTATTATTAATTTAGTTTTTCCTTTGAATCATATTTCGTACTTTCGGTCATATTTTAGATACATTTTTTTTTTACTTTAATTTTGGTTAAGACGCTTTCCTGATAAGAATTAAATCTATATTTAAGTGTTATTTGCATTACACATTTGTCCAATAAATGGACCATAGGTATCAATTAATAGATATAAAAAGAAGATGTGGTATGATTGGGGTATGATTCCCAATGAGACAACTCTCCATCAGAGACCAAATGATATAGAAATTAACAACTATAGGTCACCTTACTACGGCCTTTAACATTATTATCAGTGTATTAATATTACTTGACTGTAAAGAAATATATGTCATATTTTAATTTCTTGTTATTTCAGGTATATCAATTACTGATTACTGCCTGATGGTAAATGAAGAAGTCGACATTATTTTCCACTGATCCGAATGTGTCCGCATACCACAAGATATGGAGGTTGAGGTACACATACGGTCTTGTATTATTTCTTTAAATGTTGTGTGTTCGACAGAATTGTTTTAATTTCTTATCGTTTCTTTATTATTTTGAGAAGAAAAATTGTATTCAACCTAAAGTTTTTTGTGGTTGACTATTATTCCAAATAAGTCCTGTTATGCAAAAGGTCTCAAACCGTTATTTATGATTATGTATGATTACCTATAAAAAAAAGACCCATCATAAATCATATTAATCCAATCATTGGGCGCGTGTCTCTGTTAAATACAAAGTATACACATTTCGGAGGTGTTAATCCTTTAATTAGTTTACGTGATTGCCAATTATCAAACAATGTTACAAATATTAATGTGAATTTATATATTTTGAATTATATTTTGACATATAATATTATATTATATTTGACGTTTTTTTTTATACCTTTTTTGTGCAAAAATACACAATTATATTTTGTTTCACGACTTTTATACATATGTTTTTCGTTTAGGCTCCAGCAGTATTAGAAGCACCAGCATCACCCCCACCAGCACCAGCTTCTCCCCCACCAGCACCAGCATCACCCCCACCAGCACCAGCTTCTATATAAATGTTTGAATATTGGGTGAAATGTGTATGCAGTGGAATAAATGAATGAGTGACATGAGCATATGAGAGAGAAAAAGTGTGAGATTGTTAATTTAAAAAATGTATACAAGATGAATGTTCAATGGCATATGTATATATGTATGTTCTTACATTTCGATGTGTTTGATTTTCTACATGCCTGAACGAAAAGAATAATAAATATGAGTGTTTTGTGTATGTATGATGTATGATTTATATGTTTGTTGTATATTTGTTTATCTGTATGACTGAATGAATGAATAAAATATATTAAACAAAAATATTATCTTTTTGTTTCTTATACTAGAGTATATTGGTATGATTGTCCATAATATAATTCTCCATCAACAAATGCACCAAAATGGGAACATTTAAATTGTCAACAAATAGTATTCAACACAATGAACAAACTTAAGCAAAAAGAACATTCAGTATGATAAAAATGAAACTGGCCATCTTTTATCAAATTCTACAGTAGTCTCGGTCTTGGAAAGATGTTCAGGAAATGGAATGACTCTAAACTATAAGAAAGAAAAAAAATAAAGAATTATTAAACTATGTACTGTCTGATGATCATAACAAATATAACTCGAACTTGATGAACTGCCTTCCTTAGAGTTAACCTTAACACTGAGTCCTGTTTTAAATTTCACCAAGACTGAGATTGAGAAGATTTTTATTGTTTAGAATAATATATTTTTTACAGATATAATAAAAAGATCTGAGACATGTGCTTGTATTTATATATCGTCATCGACAGCGACAGTCAACATTCCTAAAGTTTAAACTTCATATAAAATAAGATGCCTTTATATCACATTACAATAAAAATGATTCTTCAGAAATTGTTTATAACTGATAATGAAGAAATAATCAATATACTTACATAATATGGCCCCAACAAGTTGTAAACACGAGTGATGATGATCAAGCAAAGATAACTCTTACAAGAATAAATAAGATCTCTTGTACAGAAAAAAATACTACAAAATCATATTAATGTTATTATTATGAATAAATACTTATTTTATTATTATATTTTATGTTATAACCTCAATAAAAAAAATTTTTTAAAGTGTGGACGATACGTCTCACAATGTGTGGCCGATATGTCCCATGGACGATGTGACGGTATGGCCGACACATCCCATGGCCGTCATGGAAGTATGGCCGTTGCGTCTCGAAAGCATTTTTCTCGTTTGAAATGTTTGGATACATTTGTCATTTCGGTGTCTATTTTAGCTATGTGGTATGGATTTTTTTTCATTGTTCTAGGCCGTACGGTGACCTATAGTTGTCATTTGGGCTCTGGTGGAGAGTTGTTTCATTGGCAATCATACAACATCTTCTTATTTTAATATATCTGACATGAACTGGTTGCACAGTTGTTTGTCTCAAGGAAATATTAAGGTGCAAATTAAACACATCATTTTGTTATCGAATAGCTTTGATTAAACTAAAAATGTACATGGCTGATGTCAATAGTTTTCTACTTTTGTCAGCTGATGATTTTTTTGCAGGGACACAGTGTTTTTGACGAAACGTTTAATATTTACCGCCGCAGAATTTTGCTGGATTTTTTCGATTGACGGGAACCAGTCTTTGCTGAAAACTAAATGCAGGAACACTTTGGATAAGTCTGGAATATCCGTGACAGTTATCTGACGGTTATTTTTATTTGTTTCTATTTTCTATGAATTTGTTTCCCTCAAAATGAAAAGGTTTATTCAAAATATTATGTCGAGTTATCATACTGAATAAACAAAAACAAAAATAGCAAACACGGAATTAGTTCATACCTTTCCGACTTTCGATGCAAATTTAGTGAAAATGGCGACCTTGCTGAGGTTGGTAGCAAGGAAAACAACAAAAACTTATGCCAATAGACTCTTTAATCATACTAAATTTGGTCAGCCATGCTGTTTCATTTCTACTTCAAAGAAGAATAAAGAGAGCTTAACTGTTAGACCTGATTCGACAACCCCACTTGAAGAAACAGAAGAATTCAAAAGATTGAAGGAACATTTTGCAGATTGGGACCCAGAGAAATCAAAGGTTCACATTTAAAGATTAAATTATTTCAAGAATGAAACATTAATTCTAACAAGAAGAATAAATTATTCAATAAAATATTGTACCCGATAAAGAATAGGTTTTAGTAGAGCACGATTGTTGCCTCAAAATTACAAATGTACCATTTGTTCTACCACAGAAGTTTGAAATCCTAGCAATTTTTTAAATTCTGTAATTTGCTGATAAATGGACTCACTTTTTAGGTCAACATTACTCTTAAAGTCTTTACACCGACAACAGCAATCAGGGGCGTAGCTACCTTCTTAATGAAGTGGATCACAAACTATAGGGCGAGGGGTCTGGGGGTCGCCTTGCCCTGGTATAGGGGCCAGGGGGGCGAAGCCCCCCGGAAGCTCCGCATATATAGCGTTTCAAAACAATCACAACCGAAATAAAACTTGGACATTTTTGCTGTGGTTTTTTGGTCAACTATTTGTTTAACTTCAAGTTGAATGAAGACTTAACATTGTCGCTTGCGTTTTTTGTACGTAAAAGCTTTTAAAATCACAGAGGTTTGTTCCATATGCTAGTATTTGTATTGAGCAAAGTAGATTTAAAAAAACAAACAATAAACATAAACACAATACTATATGTGGAGTTTCTGTTAGCATAAACATCATGGATACCAAATACTTGGTGGACACATTCTCATATATTTTGCTTAACATATGTTTTTAGATGTTTAAAAATTTTGTGGGTAAACTCTTCAAGAGAGAGATGGGAATTTCGAATTTTACGTAGTAAGGAATATTCGAAGTTTAAATTAATGAACTTTTTCAGAGTAAATGGTACTTTGATCACGATCTTTTTCATGATCTGCTTTTTAATTAGCCAGCTAAATAACAAATGCATATGCATTCGACCAGTTGTATGGCAATATCTAGATGATAACAGTGAAGATACGTGTAATAAAAGTTTGGTGTATCTTTCGAACAAGAATCAGCAGTTTAGTGTCCTACTCGGACAGACAGTTCTTTTTAAAACCGAATGACCTAAAAGTCCAGTAAAACGAGTTAGAATTAACAATTTATTTAAATGGTTTTACAATCAACCATTCGTATAGCCGGCCCATATAGAAACGACTTCGAATTATCGAATCTATTTAAAAGATTTTTTTTGTAAAATAAATAAAAACATAAAACATGTACTGGAAAATGTGTACTTTTTTTATAATAACAGCAGTTCCAACTTCTCATCTACTAGTATACAGAAACTATTGATTGATTGAATGGTTATAAATGTCCGGTAGCAAATATTACATGCACACAGGACGAGATACGTTGACATGATGTGAAAATGAACTATTCGTGTTGTCAAGACCTACATACTTAGTCAATATTGAACCAGTTCACAAGGTAACAGTCATATAATATTATTCCCGGATCAACGAGTTGAAGAGTCTTCATTCTAGTAAGATGTGTGCTTTAGGGCGAAGCGGAAAATAGTAATTTTCAAGTTTTTTTGTTAACAATAAAGGGATTATGTTTTTTTTTTTGCACTCAAAGCGAGTATACGGTATGGTTGTGGTACCAACAACTATGTAGCTGGTATTTTCTAAACAATGCCCGTAATATAAAAAGTTCCTCTAAGTTTACACCAGTTGTATGTATTTATGGTACACATACATGTCTTACAGGATTAAAAAATCTGCTGCATGTGTATTCCTCTTGCTTTTATTCTTTGTGTAGTTTTTAAAATGCATACATAGAAAGACCAATTCCTATATGTTAACTTTGTCCCTCTCTCTCTCTCTCTCTCTCTCTTTTGTGAAAACGACGTGGATGCACGTGATGCTGTGCCTCCGGGTAGCTACGCCCCTGGCAATCGCAGGCGAGACACAGGGTTCCACTGAACCCCTTACTAAGTTTTAATGGCTTTTAATGAATTTTTGGCTCATTTTGGATACAACTAGTATTATTATGATTATCAAATTGAGATCTAAAAACCATTTATTTTGTGTGGTTTCAATATTAATAACATTTGCCAATAAAATTGTAAAAGTATGCTAATGTGTACATGCATCTTTTTCAATTTCAGAATTGGGTATCTTATGGATTTGATTTCACAGACAGAGACATGGACACATTCATGAAAAATATGGTTATGTTTCTTATAGTCAGTTGTACTTTTGTTGCAGCTATGACATTTGTAATGTACAGCCCTGATGTAAGGTTAGTAGGTTTGTTGCAAGATTAACATTTGTAATGTACAGACATCCCTGATGTAAGGTTAGTAGGTTTGTTGCAAGATTAACATTTGTAATGTACAGACATCCCTGATGTAAGGTTAGTAGGTTTGTTGCAAGTTTAACATTTGTAATGTACAGCCATGAAGTAAGGTTAGTAGGTTTGTTGCAAGTTTAACATTTGTAATGTACAGCCATGAAGTAAGGTTAGTAGGTTTGTTGCAAGTTTAACATTTGTAATGTACAGCAATCCCTGATGTAAGGTTAGTTGGTTTGTTGTAACTTAAATTAAAAATGTTTGAGTTACAAAAAACCTTCTAACCTTTCATCAGGAATGGCTGTACATTACAGATTTGTAAGGTACAGCCATCTGTGATGTAAGGTTAGTAAGTTTGTTGTAACTTAAAACATTTGTAATGTTTCAGCCGGCCATGATGTTAGGTCAGTACATTCGTTGTAAGTTAAACATTTGTACTGTTCAGCCGGCCCTGATGTCCTAAACTTTGTTGGAAGTGTAAAATCTTGTAATATAGTCTGGTAGGTTAGCAGGTTTTCTGATGCATAAAGTTTGTATTATACAGTTGGTAGATTTTTTGAAAGTTCAAGATAAAAATTCATGTAGGTACTGAAATATATATGTGATAGATTTATTTTTTTAATTCAAAGGTAAAAGAAAAATATGTAGGTCATTGTATTTAGCTTGTTAACAAGAACTACTGTATTCTTAATCAAATTATTTACATAGGTCTATTAATCATGATTATTAAATTCATTCTTGCTGATGCTGTGAATAAAAAGAAAAAAATATCAATTGAAATTTTAATTTTAAAAAGAAATGTTTAAATTACAGGTAATCACTCTTTAGAAATAAGAAAAAATAATGGAAGATTCATATTTTGTTTTCTTGATATTTAAAAAACTAAACAAAAAAGTGGTTGAATCAATAAAATGATCTCCCCTAAATCCAGTCACTTGATTTTGCGATTATGGTTGAGTAACTTATATTAAGGTAATTGAATAAGGTTAGGTTTCAAATTACTGATCATATACTAGTTATATCACAATTCTGCATTATATTATGATTTGAATATTTGTTTTTTGACTTTAACTAGAGTCTAGAAAAGAGGGAACAAATCTAATAACAGAGACCATGATAGCTCTTCTATCAACACCAAACTCAAACAACAGAATACACACTAAGATGACAAAAGCAACAATCAACGAGACCTCCTTACATTTACATTAACATGACAAACCAACCCTCTGAGATCTCAACCCTCCCCCAGTTACAACCACTTGGCATGCATTGTAGTCCTAAACTAACATTAGGTGAAATTTTGAATGAATTACCGGGTATGTAACATGTTTATACTGATTCCTGTGATATTCAGTCATTTGAGTACCGCTCCTACTCGCTTATTAGTCGGAAAATTGGGAGTAAAATTCATAACCCAGAGAAACTGTATAATATTCTATGTTTCAGACTGAAAAATTGGGCTTGGAGAGAAGCTTTCTTAGAATTAGAACGAAGAGAAAGAGAGGGTTTACCTTTAGTTGATCCAAATTTAGTGAACCCTGAGACTGTAGAATTACCTTCAGAGGAAGAGATTGGAGATCAAGACATAATTATATGAATACTTTGTACAGTGAATTTATATTTAATGAATGATAGAATTTATAGTCTTCCCTTCTTGCCTTCATGATCTGTATTTTTATGCCCCCCCTGTAGCGGTGTGGGCATTAAGTTTTACCCTTGTCCGTCTGTACGTATGTCCCAAAATTGGTTTCCGTTCTCTAACTTGAGTTTGTCTCAACCAAATGTTATGAAACTTATACACAATGCTTATTATCACAAAACACAGATCAAGTTTGAATTTTGGTAGTGTCACTTTAACCGTTCTAGAGTTATGCCCCTTTATAAATGGAAATATTGCAAAACTTTTAGTTTCCGTTCTCTAACTTAAGTTTGCCTCAACCAAATGTTATGAAACTTATACACAATGCTAATTACCACAAAACACAGATCAAGTTTGAATTTTGGTAGTGTCACTTTAACCGTTATTGAGTTATGCCCTTTATAAATGGAAAAATTGCAAAATTTTTAGTTTCCGTTCTCTAACTTAAGTTTGCCTCAACCAAATGTTATGAAACTTATACACAACGCTTATTACCACAAAACACAGATCAAATTTGAATTATGGTGGCATCACTTTAACCGTTCTTGAGTTATGCCCCTTAATAAATGGAAAAATTGGTCGTATATTGGTATGACGTCGTCGTCGTCGTCGTCCACCAAAGACACATTGGTTTTCGTACTCTAACATTAGTTTAAGTGAATGGATCTCTCTGACATTGTACCACAAGGTTCAATATCACAAAGGGAATGCTGGGATTGATTTTGGGGGTAATTGCCTCCAAATTTTAGGAATTAGGGGGGAAAAAACAAGCATTTTTCTAGTTTCATGACAATAACTTGTGTGTAAGTCTATGAATCTCTCTGACATTGTATCACAAGGTTCCATATCACAAAGGGAATGCTGGGATTGATTTTGGGGGTAATTGACTCCAAATTTTAGGAATTAGGGGCCAAAAAGGGGCAAAAAACAAGCATTTTTCTAGTTTCATGACAATAACTTGTGTGTAAGTGTATGGATCTTTATGAAATTGTACTACAAGATTCCATATCACAAAGGGAAAGCTGGAAATGAGTTTGGGGGTAATTGCCCAAAAAGTTAAGGAATAAGGGGCCAAAAATAAGCATTTTACTAGTTTCCAGACAATAACTTGTGTTCAAGTGTATGGATCTCTCTGAAATTGTACTGCAAGGTACCATACCACAAAGGGGAGGCTGGGATTGATTTTGAGGGTAATTCCCTCAAAATTTTAGTAGTTAGGGGCCATAAAAGGGCAAAAAAACAAGCATTTTTCTAGTTTCAGGACAATAACTTGTGTGTAAGTGTATGGATCTTTATGAAATTGTACTGCAAGGTTCCATATCACAAAGGGAAAGCTGGGTTTGAGTTTGGGGGTAATTGCCCTAAACGTTTAGGAATTTGGGGCCAAAAAGGAGCCAAAAAACAAGCATTTTTCTAGTTTCCAGACATTAACTTGTGTTCAAGTGTATGGATCTTTCTGAAATTGTACTGCAAGGTACCATACCACAAAGGGAAGGCTGGGATTGAGTTTGGGGGTGATGAATCATAAGGGGGTTCAAAAAATTTAGGGGGGATTTTTTTTTCATTTTTTTTCTTTTAAATTTTCATTTTAAATTGGTTATTTCTGATTTATATATAAAAGCAAATGATAATGATGTGGTTTGAATAGGTAAATTAAAATTTTTTAAGTTCTTAGACCACTTTCATTCTGTGTCAGAAACCTATGCTGTGTCAAATATTAAATTACAATCCAAATTCAGTGCTGAATCAAGCTTGAATGTTGTGTCCATACTTGCCCCAACTGTTCAGGGTTCGACCTCTGCGGTTGTATCAAGCTGCGCCCCAGCAGAGCATTTTATTTAAATTGGAGTTATCTTCCTTTGTCCATGATTATAGTTGAATCAACTACAATCAATGCTTTATTTTTTTCAATTTTTAGTTTCCATTCTGTAACTTAAGTTTGCCCCATGCAAACATTATGAAACTTATACACAATATTCATTACCACAAAACTAAGATCAAGTACAAATTTTTTGTTTCTGTTTTCTAATTTTAGTTTGCCTTAACCAAATGTTATGAAACTTATACACAATGCTTATTACTACATAATACAGATTAAGTATGAAATTTGGTGGCGACACTTTTACCATTCTTGAGTTATGTCCCTTTATAAACATAAAAATTTCTGAATTTTTTCGTTTCCGTTGTTATAAAACTTATACACAACCGTTCTAGAGTTATGTGTGTTTACAAATAAAAAAGTTAGCCCTAACTAAATGTTATGAGACTTACACACAATGCTTATTACCACAAAACTTAGATCAAGTTCAAATTTGGGTAGCGTCACTTTTACCGTTCTTCAGTTATGTCCCTTTATAACTATATGATATGCAAGCGGGGGCATCATCTGTGTCCACATGTGGACACTATCCACATTTATTTTATTTTATTTTGTTACTATGATGGCATTCAAGAAGCCAGTAACCAGTTTTAACTTCACAGATGCCAATTGCACAATATTTACTAAGAAAACAGATATGAGAGAGTAAGCATGGCAGGGGCGTAGCTAGGTATCCAATAAAATGTAGGCACAGTTTGTGGCAGGGGGTCTGGGGCCACTCAAGGCCCCCAGCAGGTCCAGGGCAGAGCCATGGTAGGGGGTTCAGGGGGGCAAAGCTCCCTGACGGAAAACGGTTTTCAGCATTTTTGTTGCAAAATTTTGTGTACAAAAAACATAACATAATATAGATGAAGAAAGTTCGAAGAATTATAAATAATTTTACAATAACATCTGACTGATGTATTTACGCAGTACAATCGGAAATCTAAAAAAAAATTATTTACAATATGCATTGCCCAGCGTAGATCAGCGTAGCCCTTTATTTAAGCAGTACATCCTGTTCAGTGTTTTCATATCTATTCCTTTCTGATTGAGGATAATTGATATATATACGTCAATATTGATAGTACATTTTGACGATCTTTCATTAAAAAAATAGGCACATAAACACTGAGACTACTATATAATAATACTATCCTTTAAGCTAGGCATCGACCAATCATCTTTTGATTCTTAAACCTTCACCCTCCCCGGAAACACATACACACACACACAGTCGATGCCTAATGAAGCCAGAAGTTCGGTTCTGTTCATACTATCTAACAAAATTCAAGAAATTCATATTTTCTGATATCCTGTACTGTAAAATTCCTACCTAAGGAATTTGAATGATTATGGTCATTACACGTTAATCTGAGAGTACTCGAAGCTACTGAAAGCTAGCTGATTGGTTAATTGATTGCTAAACGTCCAGTGGCAAATAGTTCATGCATGTTCAGGACAAAAACAAATTTACAATAAATACAACAGGTAAGTCCTGTAATAGGGGTCGTCTAGGATGAAGGTCTTGAAATTTTGAAATGCCATTGGAAAATGAGGGTTTATTGGATATATAGGGACAGAAATTTTGCCTTTCAGCAGACGACCTACGGACCCCTCAATGAGTTGTTGTAAGTGTTCTTAACTGCAGAGAGCGTGGCGTTCTCACTACACTATAGGCATCAGATTTATCGTCCCCATTCTGACCAGACAAGACTGGGTATTTTATACATCCCGCACAGCCAAACGGACACCTCACTTTGGCAAGGGTTTTCATGATTGTAGGTCGGATGAAGACCAAGTGGAAAGCTAGTTGAAAGCCAACAACAACTAATAAAAAATCATGCATCTAAGAATAAAATTTTAGGATTTTGAGCATGTTTAGGTTCATTCATGTATTTGTTGATAAAAGTGAAATGATATTCTATCCAATACTCCATTCACTAAGGATGATAGACTAGTGTACAAATGACATTTGATAATTAAAGAGTTTTGACGACTTCACATGCATCTACAAGATAACATTGTCATTATTTATTTTTTTAATAAAAAAAAATATTTGGGAAAAAATTATGTGTAGGCACATGCCTAAAGTGCCTAACGGCAGCTACACCCCTGCATGGGGCTTATTTGGCTATGTACATTCACCAAAAAATTAAACATTGTATGATACCATATTTACTAAATCAACTTTAATGCATCAAAATAAGGACTTTCAGAAAATGTGAATTTGTTTGCCAATGAAGAGATAAACACGAAAATACTCCTACTGTATGGCTCTTGTGTTCTATTATAGATGTATAAACCCATACATCTATGGTTCTATATTCATGATATTGATTCTAATTACAAGTCAAAATGCTAAGATTTAATGGCTGTATGACCCATGTATGCTCCTGCTTTGAAGTGATGTAGACTACAGGAACAGAAGATAAAGGTGTAAAAAAAAAAAACTTCTGATCTATTTGGAGAGAGTGATAACACACTGATTTTTCATTGATTTTCCCTAACAAAACTGCAACAATTGCAATGTTGTTTTGGGTGCAAATATAACAGTTCCATCATGATATTCTTATAAAGTTATTGTAATCCTTATAATATATGATGCTGACTATGAGAATACGATATTATAAGAAGAATTTGCATTATTAGAAAAGTGACCTAGAATACAGACATAGTTTTGTGATCTCTTTGTCTGTGAATAAAGCCATAGTTTTTGTTGAGCCTGTGACTTTTGTCGCAGAAAGCTCAACATAGGGATAGTGATCTGGCGGCGGCGTTAACTAACTTCTTAAAAGCTTAATATTTCAGAAGGTAGAGGACCTGGATGCTTCATTCTTTGTATATAGATGCCTAATGATATGAAGTTTCCGTCTGTCATATGTCCATTGTCCTTGACCTCATTTTCATGGTTCAGTGACTACTTGAAAAAAAAGTTAAGGTTTTTTGTGATGTTAATTTCACTCTTATTATGAGTAATAGGATAACTACATTTGATATGTGTGTTCCTTTCAAGGTGCTCATGCCTGTCAGACAGTTTTCACTTGACCTTGACCTCATTTTAGGGATCAGTGAACAAGGTTGAGTTTTCGTGGTCAAGTCCATATTTCAGATACTATAAGCAATAGGTCTACTATATTTGGTGT